TATTATTACATTTATTATTCCAATCCAACATGTCAAAATAATGTTTGCAACTTAAAAGCTTTATCAAAATCAGTAAATTAGCATTTTTATCCTGTAGTTATGCATTTAATTAAGTAATGACAACAGGTCCTTTGAATTACCATTCAGAGTGTTTTTTACAGTAGTGCAAAGCATGTCAAGTTTTCTCCATAAAGACATATATATTGTATATATTGTTTTTGTTTGTTTGTTTGTTTTTTAACCATAAGTTGTCTTTTAAATCCCCCCATTATAATATTAATTCATTGTGAAAAAATGTGTCTGCATGGATGGAACTTAAATTTTAAAATGTTTCATTTCAGGGTTGTTGTTTAACTTTTATCTTATTGCTTACAGCTTCTCCAGCCAATCTTGTTGCTGCAGCACACATGTCCACAAATTGTCCTTTTTTAACTTGTATTAATTATTTGTTTCTCTCTCTTTTTTCTCTCTCTCTCATTTAAAAAAAAAAAAAAAAAGATCTTTCAAATAAAGTGTTCACCTTCCCACAAGAAACCAACACAGCTCATGTGAGGCTGACGACATCGAGACAAAATCTGGGGGCTGTAACCGTCTGTTTCAGGTAGTGATGGACAGTCAAAATGAATTAAATAAAAACCTCCTGTATTCAAAATGACCATGCATGATGATGTGTTTGCATCACCTACAGGTCCTTCACAGACCTCAGAAGAGTTCACTCACCCTTCTCTTTGGCGACACCCTCTGCTTCCAATGACTTCCTGATAACCAAGATGGCTGTAAGCGATGAGTTTCACCTCGTAGCCAGGGACAAAGTTGCATCTGTTTTTGGGCAGGATTACAAACTGAACACGTGGCACTCTATTTGTTCCACATGGGACGCTACATCTGGACTGATACAACTTTGGTTAGATGGAAAACCCTCGAGTCGTAAATTCGTCAGCTCTGGATCCAACATCAACGGACCCATTATCATTGTTTTAGGACAGGTACAGTTGTGTAGCACCACACTTATAGGAATGGTCTAAGATTTTGTGAAATATGCAAATTTCCACTGAGCATGAGATGACATTAATACTAGCAGCCTGTTAGCTTAGCTTAGCATCTAAAGCTCCCATTATTGAGTTAAACTCCAAATTATTTACGTGCCAGACTGATTCTTAGCTGGTAACAGCAACTTCCTTCAGTCTCTACTGGTGTCCTGCTGTTCACCATGAAATCATCCAGTGCAGAACTTCTAGGAAAATGGCATGTTTTTGTTGTTCTGTTTTGTTTTTTTGGTTGAATTATTTACACATATCTACATATCTACACTATCACTGAATTGGTCATCATCTCTAAATGTTCTAATGCCATAGTATTCATTTAGAAAGTCTTCCAAATGTGCTGTAGTCTGCAACTTTATGATTAGCTGTATGCTTATATATCAGAAAAAGATAAAACCTTGTGCATTATAGCTGCTAACTCAATTTTCTGCAACTTCTCAGGATCAGGATTCCCATGGTGGGGGTTTTGACACTAAGCAGTCTTTTGTTGGCATGATGTCCGATGTCCACATGTGGGACTACACACTTCACCCCTGTGAGATCAAGAGCTATTCAGCACAACTAGCCTTCACTCCAGGCAACGTGCTGAACTGGAGGGCGTTGGAGTTCCACATTATAGGAAGAGTGCTGATAGAAGATAATCCAAACATGTGTTGATACACTTTTGATGCCAGACTTCATCCAGTCTTACAAAGTTAAAAACAACTTCATGTCCAATATAAAGGGTTGACCCAAAAGGTTTGTCAAATTCATCGAAGCTGTCAAAGTGTTCTTAGTTTTGATTTGATGTTTTTGTTACTTTTCTCATCAGATGTAACCATGAAATTTTATACTTCACTCATGAGCATCTTTCTGAACTTGTTGTCATGTATTGTGTGCATTAATCATACAGGGATTGGGATACTCTGTTATATTACTCATCTGAAACAATCATTATCACTCTAAACCTTTGTGCT